TGGCCCGGAATCCAACTAGGTGCAGAATTCCGATTCTCTGTCCGTTCGAGCCGTCCGTAATGATGGCCTAGGCGCGTGCACCTCGCCCGCGCACTTAAGCTTTCTTCGTCGTTGTTTGTGGCTATGGCTGGGCAGCTTGATTGCCGGTGTCGATAAACTGTCGTTTCCGATTTCGGGGTAGACGCGAGCGCAGGCGCGGCGCAAGTGTACACTTTTCAAATTCAGATGCTGGCTGGATTGGTGTCCACGCGGGCGCGGGAGGCCGAGAGGCGAAAGGCACGAATTGGCGCTGTTTGCTGCGCTAACCGATGGCGCAAGCACAAAATCTCGCATCCGTCTATCAGCCATTGCAATCCCTTGACTTCATTTCAGAAGCTATCATCGCATGTTTTCTGTGGTTGAACACCATCATGATCGAATTGCGACCCAGGCTTTGTAAAGAGAAAGCATCGTTGATGTCTTTCATTTGTTCTTCTCTCTTAATTGTTGCAATCACCCATTTTCTTTTTTCCGCTGGCATGAGTTTAGCACCACTTCTTGCGAAGATGAAAATCATGCTTCTTGTGGAATTCATCAAGTTCTGCCACTTTTCCTTCTGGGTACTTTCAAACTACAATTTCTTCTTCCTTGCCTCTTCACTTGTGCACCTTCGACCTTGTTTTTTTCAATGGGAAACTTTAAAGCTTCATTGGCGATCACACTCGAAGACATCTTGGTTGTCTGAGAGGTCCGCATCGCCACAACAGATGAGCAAGTGGCGGTGGTATGGCCGTTCCTGGGGCCTTGCATTCTGTTGTGCTTTAGGGGGGAGAGAGAGTTTGTGAAGAGGTTGTGGAGAGTGGGAGACAGCTGAGAGTTCGTGGGGTAAGGCCAGAGGGGAGGGGTCAGCGGGTGAGCGAAGCTTCATTGTCGATCACACTCGAAGACATCTTGGTTGTCTGAGAGGTTCGCATCGCTGCAGCAGATGAGTAAGTGGCGGTGGTACGACCGTTCCTGGGGCTTGCATTCTGTTGTGCTTTACCCGTAGAGGGGGGAGAGAGAGTTTGTGAAGAGTTTGTGGAGAGTGGGAGAGAGTTGAGAGTTTGTGGGGTAAGGCCAGAGGGGAGGGGGGTTAGTGGATGAGCAAGGAGTGGGAGAGGGATAATGGGAGGGGCGAACAGGGTTTGTTGATTTGTTTGTTTGTTTGTTTGTTTGTTTGTTTGTTTGTTTGTTGGTTGGTTTGTCGGTTTTTTTTGGGTTTAAGTTCCTAGACTCGGGTGTGGTTGGCGGGTAAGGTGGGTAAGGTGTCAAGAATGCCGACTGTCCGGTGTTGCGGAGACTGCTTGGACGAAGGAAAGACAAGGAAGGCAAGACGAGACGACGATCAGCGTCGCGGTCCACGGCCAGGCAAGTAGAATGGGGGCAACAACCTGTCAGGGTTACTTGAGTAGGGAACGGAGGTGCGAGGATTTGGGTCCTCGGTAGGCCTATGGGGCCCTGTTTGCAGCATTGCCCGCCCTAAGTGAAGGCGGAGGTGCCCGCCCTAAGTGAAGGCGGGCTTGACATATCGCAAGAGGCCCTCGACTGTCAATTTCATATTTGGGGTCCAGGTAGTTGCGACGTGCCAGTTGGTTGAAAGAAACTTAGGCCGGGCAACACAGACATTTCCACGGCCTTCCGGGCTTTTCCAAAGAATGCAGGCCCTGGGCGTGATTCGCAGCCTCATACAGAGAGTTGGGCGCCCAACCGAACGAGGCCCAGCAGCCCAGTAGCTGCTGTACCCAGGCAGCCTCCTGGGGCAGCCAGGCTGAGCGAGCAGGCCAACTCTTTCCATAAAGGAAAGAGCTCTGCCCTGGCTGCCTCATTCGGTCACTTGGCTGGCGGCAGCGCTGCTGGAGCGATAGCTCGCAGGCTGGCTGCTGGCATTGGGAGCAAGAGGCTGCGCACGTGGGGTCGTGTGGTGAAGTAGGGCGCTGCTGAGGGCAGCGCCATAGCCATCCTCCATAGCGGGCTCGACTTGGATGTACAGTGAGGCAGAGGGGTGGTCTTCGGGTGTAAGAGAGGACAGGTGTGGGTGTAAAGTCAGGGAAGGGCGAAGGATGATGATGATGATGATGTGAGGGCACATACCTTGTATTGGCGATGGTCTGCATATGGGCAAACATCTTCAAGTACTTCGGGTGGCCGCTGATGTCAGTAGTTGCATTGTCTATTAGTAGGTTGATCGTCGCTGTGTAGGAGTAGGCTGGGCGCTGAGTGCCAAGTAGGAGTGTGAAGGGACTGGACTCTTGTGTTGTGGCGGAGAGAGAGAAACTCTCCTTGACATTGGTTTTCAGTACTATGAACCCCCATTGGTGTATTATTGGTGCAATGCTGCTCTCTGGACACAGTGTGACTATCTCGCTTTCAATGTGATGGTGTAATCTGGAATTTGTCATCTCGCTGTTGCTTATTTTCCTTGCAATTTGGTATCGGAGCTGGTTCATATTGCGCTTCATTGGTTCTTCACAATAGCTATTGGTGCTTCGCATGAGGTGTGGGGCAGTGATAAGGCATTGGCGTTGAACATTAGGCAGCCCAGGGTAGTGTGGGCGCGCCAGGGAGCTATGTGGTGACATACGGGGTGTATGCTGGATGATGAGAGCTCGCTGATGTGGCATATTAAGCCGGGGTGGAACCGCATTCTGTTGTTGGTTGTGCCGAGGCAAAGACCGGTCATCAGAATTGCACATCAGGTTACTAGTGAGAAATCTGTGGTTGGGGGCAGCATTTATGAGGTACGTTGCTCTCTTCCTTACCTACCCTCTTCATCTTTTCTTACCGTGAGGAAGTGAGTTTTGTCTTAAGAGTCCTCTCGATGTGAGGTGTCGCGAGCGCTCAACCTTGAGAGTCGACATTCTTCCTGGGCAGCAAGCTGGTGGGAGACGGGCGATGCTTCTTAAGGGCCTTGGACGAAGCACTCGGGTCACAGTCACCATGCCAACCCACTGGGACTAGTACACGCATGCTTTGCCGCAAGTCCTTGGTTCTGCTGCTTGCGCAATAGAGATCATGCAGGGCATGCCAACACTTTGACAGACGCTTATCAGACCGTCTTTAAACATTTCTGGCTGGAGACTCGGAATTGAATCTGGCTGTGATCGTCGTCCTGTCTGCGACGTTAAATAATTCCTGAGGAGATGGGGGCTCTCCTTAAATCCCTCTTGATCAGCTGGATCAACCGGGTGTAAATTCGTTGAATGCGAGGGTAAATAAAGTGCAGGGGCTGGCATGTTCGACGTTGACTTGGGGCACAGGGGTGGGCCGGATTGCACACCTTCAAACACGATGCTCAACCAAATGCTCAGGACGTTGACACAAAGTGACGACTCAAGAAGGATACAGGGGGAGGGGGGATTCCGGTAACTGTTCGAAGTGGCAATCAACAGACAATCTGCCATCAAGCATACATCTCTAACAGGAGATGTTATTTTTATTTTTGATTATCTAGTTGTTACAGACTTGACTAACAACTGACAGACGACTACGGACAGATTAGATCTTTGCTGTATTGCGATCTGTTATAGGGTAATCTAAAAATAGATTTAATATATCCTATAGGACCTGACATTAGTTGTTACTATATCACCTAATTGTTTCTGTTCCAGCCGACCGAAATTAGTTGTGAATCATAATCGGTTGTGTGTCAGGCTAAGGTAGGATTCGGTGTGGATTCTAGTTTAGATCACACACACTGTAGCTCATGAGTGATGCAAGCACTAGTGAGGAGTTGCTAAAGGATGACCGTAGGACTACTCGCTGGACTGCCGTAGTCGACCCTTGACATTCTTGGAGTTGGGTCCAGGAGACGAGAGAAGATTGCGGAGAGAGGCTAGAGAGAGAACAGCGGCAAGAAGAGAGAGGGCAGCTGAGGATAGTGCCAGGACTAGAATTTCAGCTAGCACCTGTGCAGCCGTGGCTACTTTATCTACTATGTCGCAAACCTCTTCACAGTCCACTTCGTCAGGAGTCAGTCAGAGTGGTTCTCAGGGGTCCATTAGTCAGATTGCTAGCTTGCGAGTCAGCCAGCAGACTCAACTCACGGCGGAGGATTTAGAAATCCGTCAAGCAGAAGAACTTCGGCAGTTGGACGAAGCAGCAGAGAGGAGAAGAAAAACCATACTTAGGAAGGCTAGACTAGGGAGTAGAATGCAGGAGCTAGGCAGGTTGGAAAGACTAGATGAGGCGACATTAGATCCTGCTGGTCGTATACTGTGTAGTGCCTTACTTTCAGTGGCTGAAGCGCAGAACGTCCAACAGGAATTGCTGGCCGAATTGGTGGCAGGCCGGAAACAAATCCTGGCTGAACTTCGGGCTCCTCGCACAGCAGTGAGGCAGCCGCAGTTTGCTGTAGATCCCCCTGCGGGTCAACTTTCTCTCCTATGTTTGGCATACCCCCTCCAGGTGGTTTAGCAGCAACTAGTGGTCCGGTTCATACAGTCTCAGCCGTACCATCTACAACAGTGGTCACTACAGTCCCATTGTCAAGCCAGGTCAGGTTAGTGTGCAACAGCCTGTTTCAGTGGCTATGCAACCGCTGCAGCAAGCCCCTGGGCCCATGCAGCCTATGCAGTGGATGACCAAGATTCCTCTGCTGAGTCCTAAACCTTTTTTTGGAGACGGGAAGAAGGATGAGGATCTGGATACTTGGGTAAGGACTGTGCGTACATATGTGAGGCATAAGCTTACAAGACCAGAGCAGGAAGTTGTAGTTGCTGCGTCCTTTTTAGAAGGATCAGCAACACGTTGATTGAATGGGTTAGTGCAGCAGCAGGGCTATGGTCAGAATTTCGATGCATGGGCACAGGCCCAAACATTGGAACAGTTCGTACAGACTGTGTACAGGAGATGGCATGACCCTCAAGGGGCTCAGAAGGCCACCGACGCGATCAACAATCTGTGTGCCAAGAAGTACAAGAATGTTTGCGAAGTCACAGACACTGTAGAACGTCTGATCGTAGTACCTGGTGTGCGCTTTGACGCTCAAGTACTCCTTACGGATTATTTGAGATGTCTTTCATCCGAAGTCAGGACAAAACTGGTGGACGAAGCCTACGTAGACCAACACAACTTAGCTACTTTCAGCAGGAAGGCCCTAGACATAGAGGCAAAGCTGGGATCCGCACATCAGGTATCACATGATGGTAGGAAGAGACTTCCCCAGGAGTGGAAGAAGTAGGGTCAGTTGATGTTCGTTGACCACAATGGTCAAACAACGGAGATTGACGATTTCCCAGATCTTGGGGAGGTGACAGAGCAGGATGGGGCCAGCGAGACTTTGGATGGGGGAGTTGTGGCTATCAAAGAAAAGGCTAGGGGGACCGGGAAGAAGAAGGTAGTACGGTCCACGGGTCAGGGCGACCAAGGAACACCCGCATGGGTAAAACTTGGTTTAGAGTATGAGGTGTGGAGAGACAGAGTTGCTCGGGGCACATGCATGAACTGTGGCAATTATGGCCACACGTCTAGAACGTGCCGAGGCAAGAAATTCTTGACGAGGGTAGCCGCACCAACGGTGGTGGGACTATCTTCGAACTCTGGCGGTGCTTCTGCGAGCACTTCGCAGGGAAACACCTCGCGCCAGTAGGAGTTTTAGTCGCTCTTACTCGCGCTGAAGTGGTTACATTGCCTTCCCCACTTCACGCGTTGGCCAAGGCTAGTGACCCACGTATCGCCCCACGGACCCATTCAGACCCACCGACGCTCTGTTTGAAAGATGTGTCTGAGGCCCTAGAGGAGTTAGAGACTGAGTGGTCAGGGAAGAACCCAGGGACATTTGGGCGATGGTCAGTAGAGGTCCAAAGGGTGAACATTTCGTGGTAGAGGATGTAGGTGGCCGCAAGGTTGGTGCCTTCGCAGACATAGGCTCTACACGAAACTTCATTAGTCGTGCTTGTGTGGATAGACTGCGCTTAGGGGACCAAGTGCAGCGGCTTAGCAGAATTGTAGCTTCTACGCTGGCCAACAAGCAYCAAATGTTGGTAAAAGACTATGTCAAGGACGTAGTCTGCACCTTCTCCTATGGAGGAGGGGAAGTGAGTCATAAAATCTCCTTCCTGGTTAGCGACGAACTGCCCGTTGACATGCTCCTAGGTATGTACCACCTCGAGGTCGCGCGACCACAGTTTGACTGGGATAGAAATGTATTGATTCACAAATTGCCCAACGGTAGATCTGTTAGATTGCGAAAGTTCAAAGCTAGCAGTCTAATAGAAAACTACGGGTGCATGTGTGCGTCATCCTTCTATAACTATCATAAGCAGAATCGCGAGGAGGGCATGTATCTAGTATTTGTCTCTGAGAAAGGGGAGTCCGTTAAATCACCCCCAGAGATAGAATCAGTCGTCGCACAATATTTAGACCTTTTTGAGGAGCCCATAGGCGTGGTGGAAAGGGAGGTTGTCCATGCAATAGAGGTTGTCCCAGGTAGTAAGGTGCCTAGAGGACGAATCTATAGGATGTCTCCTGCGGAGTTAGATGAGCTTCGCCGCCAGCTCAAGGAGCTCACAGAGATGGGATGGATTCGGCCTAGTACCTCCCTTTATGGTGCTCCAGTTCTATTCGTACCGAAGAAGGGAGGTACCTTGAGGATGTGCATTGACTATAGGGGCCTCACTGCCATCACCGTTAAGAACGCGGAGCCCCTACCCCGCATTGACGACCTCTTGGATAGAGTGCAGGGATGCCGGTACTTCACCAGGATAGATCTGAAGTCCGGATACCATCAAATTGCCATTAGGCCTGAGTATCAGCACAAAACCGCATTTCAGGTCAGGTACGGTCTGTACGAGTTTGTGGTGATGCCGTTTGGACTATGCAATGCACCTGGTACATTCTAGCACGCGATGAACAAGATTTTTCATGACTACTTAGACAAGTTTATCGTCGTGTACCTCGACGATATTCTCATCTTTAGTAGGACTGTAGAGGAGCACGCTGAGCACTTGAAAACAGTGCTAGGTCTCCGAAGACAGCACCAGAACAAGGTTAACTTGGAAAAATGCGAGTTTGGTCGCACCAAGATCTTGTACTTGGGTCATGAAATCTCAGCTGATGGATTGAGGCCGGATGATGCCAAAGTGGCCGGCATACGTGACTGGCCCAGACCTCAGACTGTTACTGAGGTCAGATCGTTTTTGGGGATGACGGGCTACTATTGTCCGTTTGTGAAGAACTATAGTACTATAGCTTCCCCATTAACAGATGTAACTCGACTTGACACCCCTTGGGAGTGGACTGAAGAGTGTGAGGCAAGCTTCAAGAAATTGAAGTATGCTCTAACACACTATGAAGTTTTCAGACTTCCTGATCCTGACAAACCATTTGTTGTGACCACAGATGCCAGCCAATATGGCATAGGCGCGGTCCTTGCGCAACAGGAGGGGCCAAAGTTGAGACCGATCGAGTATATGAGTAAAAAGATGCCTTCCCAGAAGTTAGCTAAGTCCACGTATGAGAGAGAACTCTACGCCTTGTACAGAGCGCTTGTCCAATGAGACACTACCTCCTAGGAAGATTCTTCTATGTGAGGTCGGACCATGAGACTTTGCGCTGGATTAAGACACAGCCTGTTCTGTCGGACGCACTCAAAAGATGGATTCAAGTGGTAGACATGTATGACTATCAACTTGATCCTATCAAGGGTACGTACAACAAAGTGGCTGATGCATTATCACGACGGGCAGACTATTTGGGCGCGCTAGTCACTGAGTTTGGCATATCTGACGAACTCACTCGATCGCTGGTGGAAGCCTACCAGGGAGATTCAGTTATGTCAAAGATCATCCGTAGATTCCAAGCAAAGGACAAAAAAACCTCGGACAAATTTATGATGGTAGATGGCTTGCTGTTTCTTGAGAAGGCAAGGAATAAAAGATTGTGTCCCGTGTAGTGAGTCTTTACGTAGTTTATTTTTAGGCGAGTGTCATGACGCAACTGGTCATTTTGGATATAAAAAGACCTCAGCGAACCTAGTGCATAAATTTTGGTGGCCCACTATGATGCAAGATACGAAAAGGTATGTTGAAACTTGCCAGGTCTGTCAAAGGGACAAACCTAGGACTCAGGCTCCACTTGGGCTCATCAAGCCCTTGTCGATTCCTGAAGGTCCTGGTCAAAGTGTGTCCATGGACTTCATGGATACTCTTGTGACCAGTAAGTCTGGAAAGAGGCATATCTTCGTGATAGTGGACCGCTTTACTAAATATGCAAGACTGATCGCTCTGCCAGAAACTGCGAAAATTGACTATGTCATCAAACTGTTTCTGGATCACTGGGTTAGGGATTTTGGACTACCCACATCAATAGTGAGTGATAGGGATGTAAGGTTTACCAGTGAACATTGGCAGGCAACTGCTGAACAAATGGGAACCAAACTCCAAATGATTTCAGGGAATCACCCTGAGTCAAATGGTTAGGCAAAACAGATGAACCGGGTAGTACAGCACCTGCTTCGGCATTATATTAAGCCAAGTCAGGATGACTGGGACGAGCAGTTACCTCTCGTCGCCAGCCTGTACAATAACGTTGTGCATAGTACTACGGGTATGACTCCCAACCAGCTACATCTTGGTTGGAAACCCAGAACTGTGCTTGACTTTCTGCTACTGGAAAGGCAACCCACTGCAGCCCCTGGCAGCATAGGGTATGCTATCAAGTATGAACAGATGCTGCAGAAGGCAGTGGAACATATTAAGAAGTCTCAAGATGCTATGATTGCATCTGAGAACAAACATAGACGGCCTTCTAACTTTCAGGTAGGTGAGAGAGTCTGGGTGAGGTCATCTGAACTGGGTCAGGAGATAGGTATCTCAAGGAAACTGATGCCATAGTACTTGGGCCCTGGGAGATCTTAGATATTGTAGGGGATCAACCGGATGGGCCTTCATATGTGATTCGCATCCCTGCGCACTTACGGACTTACCCTGTTTTCCATGCATCCAAGCTGGCACCTTTCGCTGCCACAGACCAGTTTCCCTCTCGGAGATCAATGCTGCCCCCAACCATGGATGGCGAAGTGGACATTGACCAGATTGTCGAGAACCGAGTGATGCCTGTTCCTCGACCTTCCGGCAGAGGACGCCCTCCTAAACCGAGAATGCAGTATCGTGTGAGCTTCAGACATCATCTGGATCCTAAAGAAGATCGGTGGTTCACACGAGAAGAACTCATGAGAACAGCACCGCAAGTGATTGCAGGCTATGAAAGATTACTCAAAAGGAAAATGCCTGCACAATAAGAGACTTCTCAGAGGACCTACGAAGTAAAGGAGGAGGGAATGCGAGGATTTGGGTCCTCGGTAGGCCTATGGGGCCCTGTTTGCAGCATTGCCCGCACTAAGTGAAGGCGGAGGTGCCCGCCCTAAGTGAAGGCGGGCCTGACATATCGCAAGAGGCCCTCGACTGTCAATTTCATATTTGGGGTCCAGGTAGTTGCGACGTGCCAGTTGGTTGAAAGAAACTTAGGCCGGGCAACACAGACATTTCCACGGCCTTCCGGGCTTTTCCAAAGAATGCAGGCCCTGGGCGTGATTCGCAGCCTCATACAGAGAGTTGGGCGCCCAACCGAACGAGGCCCAGCAGCCCAGTAGCTGCTGTACCCAGGCAGCCTCCTGGGGCAGCCAGGCTGAGCGAGCAGGCCAACTCTTTCCATAAAGGAAAGAGCTCTGCCCTGGCTGCCTCATTCGGTCACTTGGCTGGCGGCAGCGCTGCTGGAGCGATAGCTCGCAGGCTGGCTGCTGGCATTGGGAGCAAGAGGCTGCGCACGTGGGGTCGTGTGGTGAAGTAGGGCGCTGCTGAGGGCAGCGCCATAGCCATCCTCCATAGCGGGCTCGACTTGGATGTACAGTGAGGCAGAGGGGTGGTCTTCGGGTGTAAGAGAGGACAGGTGTGGGTGTAAAGTCAGGGAAGGGCGAAGGATGATGATGATGATGATGTGAGGGCACATACCTTGTATTGGTGATGGTCTGCATATGGGCGACATCTTCAAGTACTTCGGGTGGCCGCTGATGTCAACAGTTGCATTGTCTATTAGTAGGCTGATCGTAGCTGTGTAGGAGTAGGCTGGGTGCTGAGCGCCAAGTAGGAGTGTGAAGGGACTGGACTCTTGTGTTGTGGCGGAGAGAGAGAAACTCTCCTTGACATTGGTTTTCAGTACTATGAACCTCCATTGGTGTATTATTGGTGCAATGCTGCTCTCTGGACACAGTGTGACTATCTGGCTTTCAATGTGATGGTGTAATCTGGAATTTGTCATCTCGCTGTTGCTTATTTTCCTTGCAGCGGCCTGCAGCCTGCAGGGGGCTGGAGGGCTTTGATGGGGAGTGAGTCGGGACAGGAAGCAGCAAGTTGAAGGTAGAGGGGGTTCACACCAGTTTGTGTCGTGTTGCCCTAAAATATGTTTTCGGTTGTCTCACTCGTCTGGATCTGGACTTGTGGAGATATTTTGTCTGTATCTGCTCTCGTTTGTACCTGTTCTGGCTGCTGTTCAAATACCTTTATCTCTTTGTCGCACTTGGAAAAGGACGCTATGCTCTTGGCCTTGATCAGGGACTGCTCTTATTGAAGTCACCCTTTCCTCTACAGGGTGTTGCTGAAAGTTTCGTGCTGGATCTTTGAACACCCCTCCACTGTATCCGTTTCTCAGTGGGCCCCTCGCCCTTTTGTCTTGTAGCGGATTCCCCAGGGACGTATCCCATTTTCCCCATAATTAGAAAAAAATAATTGAGGAATCTAGAGACAACAAATTTGGAAATTGGGCTGAAGTGAGCTGGAATCTTCACTTGGAGTCTTGTGTTGTAGATCAACCTTCTTCAGCGACTGCTCTGGTGCTCCTCCGCTGTCGTCACTCTGTCGCTCAATCGTCAAAATGGACTGTTGGATGGTGATGTTCGACTTGGATGTTTTGTAAGATACTATCCCCCGACATTCGCTGGGTCCTGCGTGCTTCCCTTAGCCGAAACCGCTCCTCCGGTGTGCACCTGCCATCTCCAGTCTTACGTCTCGTTAGCTGCCCTTCCCAGGATGGACGGCTGGATAGAAACCTCAGCTCCACTGGTGGTGAGATCATGTATTCGTAGGGGATTGATCCCTTATCCACGATGTTGCTTCTCTCGCTGAGGAACGGTCAGATTGTCATCCCTATGCTTCGTTGGAGGCATACGCCTAAGCGCTATGCAGCGCGGCGCCCCCAAGTGCTACAGCCCGCGCGCTAACACGTGACGGGCGAACGCTCAGTGGTGCGGCGCTGGTTGGCGCGGCAGCGCGAAAATTAGCACATCAGCTTTGCGCTAACCGGCGGCGCTTGTGTTTTTTTTTCCGCACTTCCTGGAATTTTGAATACTCGTAACAACTCCCAGATAAAGAGCGCATTCGTCAAGGTCTTTATCCACGGGCAAACTGGCTTCCTCTCATAACTCAAAAGTTGTGCAAACTGGATTTATTTACCTTCTGTCATCCCCTATCCCCTATCCTTATTTATAAACGATGCCACTTCCTCGCCTGTTTAGGAGTTACTCCGTGCAAGCATGGTGATAGATTGCAAAGGGGAAGGCGTATCAGTCACTTTTGCTTTTCGCTCACCTGTTTAAGAGACCCCATGCCTGCATGTTGACAGATTCGAGTGGAGGGTGTATCATCAGTCAATTTTGCTTTTTTCCCCGACATGGCTTCGGACTCTTTGCTACGCATTCTGATACGTACTTTGACGAACTCTGCACTGCACTGCTTATTATTCCAATTTGCTCTTAATTCCTGTCCTGCTCAGCCATTCGTGCAATGGGACAGCTGAGTACATTAGCAGTTATGGCAGGCGCCTCACTCTCAGAGGCCTTACAGTACATTAGTGAATGGATACGTTCATCAGGTTTAGCATCTAGGACCAGTGCCTTCTGCCATCTCTTGCCCAGCCTTTGTTGACTATTCTGCTATAGTGTCAAGAAAATCTTCTAATATTCCGTGCACACTGCACACAAGGGGTCTTGGTGTTTGTAAGAGGGAGGCTACCTGTTTGCCACAGCCGTTATAGTGGGCAGCTTAGGTTATGAGATCTTGTTGACACACCACAGAGGCTTTTTGAAGCAACGACAGCCGAGGTCAGGGCTAGTTCTCAGATGGAAGGCTACTTGATTAGTGACACTCTTGGGA